TCTCCGGATTACATGTCTGAACACTTTATTTCACAAGATTCCATTCATAATTATAGTACAAGACTTAGTCAAAAGGGTGGATATTATCTACCTAAGGTCAAAGGCCAGGGTTCTAAATCATTTGCTTTCTCTGGTATTAAATTATGGAATGATTTACCTGTAAAGTTAACGGAGATCAACAGGTTACAAAGTTTTAATAAAAAATTCTAGAAACAAAGTGATCCCTCGGAAGCATTAATCACAACAAAATAACATAAGAATTGCAGACTCGGTTTGATTGAGTCTGTACATGAGGGATAATGGATAAGTGCAACATCCCTCACGCCCCCTAGCACCGGCTTGAGCGGTACTCAATTCTCAACACTTTATAGTGTTGGCATCAAGAGCGGTACTCAATTCTCAACACTTTATAGTGTTGGCATCAATGATCCCGAAGGACCAGAAAATATAACAACACTGAAGTGAAGTACGGGGCAACTTTTTACGGCTGCCACACAGCACTTGACACCTGCTGTTGTGAAGTACAAAATTCTGGAAACAAAGTGATCCCTCGGAAGCATTAATCACAACAAAATAACATAAGAATTGCAGACTCGGTTTGATTGAGTCTGTACATGAGGGATAATGGATAAGTGCAACATCCCTCACGCCCCCTAGCACCGGCTTGAGCGGTACTCAATTCTCAACACTTTATAGTGTTGGCATCAAGAGCGGTACTCAATTCTCAACACTTTATAGTGTTGGCATCAATGATCCCGAAGGACCAGAAAATATAACAACACTCAAAAGTCATCTTATGAACAGTATTTAAATTTTTTTTTAAACATGTTTTTACATATTTCGGCTCAGGATTTTAAATTGTCTGCCATTTATCTTATTACAATTTTAGTAATGTGTTTTAAATCCTAGCTGTAAACAGGAGTATCATTAACTCAAGATTTGACTGTGATATACATTTTTATGATTTATTAGTATTTTTAAACATGATTATATTAAGGTTTGCCTCTCTATGTCATGCCGCCAATACAAAGGACCACAATGGAAATAAGAGCTTTTTTGCCCTTTTTTGTGTTATCCTTGGTTTTGGTGAGCATGTCATAGTTTTACTCGTATGTGATATAGTATTTAATAATGCTCATTATTTTATCCTATGTTATATTGTCAACTATGTATATGCTTCCTTTGCCGAAATAAATCTATCTATCTATCTATCTATACTTCGTACGTGAAGATCGTACTTGAAGATAGAGGTTCATTTCTATATATAGGTAACCCGACAAAAACATGGCGAATGGTGTGCTCTGTAGGCGCCCCTTGTCATCCATTTTGTTTCAAATGATATTAAATTTTCCATTCTGATAGGGGTTTGGGTTGGCATTGTACGGGTAAAAATTGTCGAATATTATAAATGGGGACAATGGTAAAACAAACAACACGACAAATTATGAGTAAAAAACAATAAAATGGTACATTTCATAAAAGATCTTGCTCGTCTTCCAAATAAGGAATTGGGCATTACTATTTTTAGTGATGTCAAAATGTAAATTTGAGGTTGGACCTGGTCAGACTGTACGGAGATGTAGGCTGGCTTAGCTATCAACTGGTCTAATAAATGTTGTTTCCGGCAGTAAAGTGTAGACATGGCATGAAGGTGTAAAACGCAACAGTTTTTACTTCATATATTGGCAATGATAAGGGCACAAAATAGCATTCTCGAATTCTTTTTGGAGATAAGCTTTTAAGTCTGTATAAAAAATACATTGTTTTCCCTATGGAACTCATTTTTCCACCGTAATTATATGACATTTGTCGGTTTAGTTTCTTTTTTATTATTTATTTATCAAACAATAAGATTTAAGGGTGTCTTTTATTCTTCTTTATATGCAGCCTATTTAGTGACCTATATAACTTATAACGTAAGTTCACAGCTGAATCTCAGTGATATTATTAAATATATCATCTTTTGAAAACATATGGTTTATGCATACAGAAAACCATATGTCTTTTTATTATAATAAGCGAAAGATGGCGTTCATGATAAAATCACAGTAATGTTTTTAATCAAAGGGCTGCAGCTCTATGGTATTTTCTGATCTTTGCAATCTAAATCATACTGACTATCTGTATGTACTTTCCTGTATAAGTTTATTTTTATATACTATAATTCATCTTACGCAGCGACAGCGTTTTGATTTTCTTCTATAACAGTTTGAGATTTACATATGGAATTTTGCATGAAAAAAAAAAATAGAATTGCCTCGACTAGGATTTGAACCATAGGCCTCTCACACCCTCAACGAGACCGCTTACCTCTGCACCACGGAGCAGTTATACATATGAACCTTGAATAAAAACGAATACATTATGTAATTCTAAATTGAGAATTTCCATCATTTCGTGTTTGTAATCCTTATTAATTTCGAGGTATTTTGTTCACGATAAACGTGTTGTTTAACACTGATGAAAATAATTTATCGAAAATCTTCTCGCCAAAACAGTCCGACATGTATATATTCCACTGCTCGACAGTCAGATTTATTTGTGTACTACGCTCTGGAGTATTCGGTAATCGGCATAGCTAAAAATAGCATTTTCATTGATTAAATGATATTCATGATAATGCGAAGCTTTACGGAAATAGCCGAACATTTTTCATTGGGTAAAAAAGATATTCATCCGCGAAATTTGTGATTGTAACCTCATATTTCTATTGACTAATCTAAACTTTTAATGCACTGTAATTCGTTAAATGCCTACATTAAAAATTATTCTTTCTTTTAAATTGCTGGGTTTTAAGCAGTTTTGAGTGAGAACTACTTTGCGTTGTTAGTACTGTTAGGAAATTTTGTGTTAGACCGTGGATGTTAGCTATGTATTTACTGATCTTACGATCAGAAAATACAATTACTGATCTTACGATCAGAAAATACAAAAATCAAGACTATAAACACGTGTACGTACTTCCGAGACTCCTGGCTTTATTGGAAAGGTACAAATCTTCGTCTGCCGAATTTATTTCAACGAGCATTGAGCCAAATATTTTACAAGATTCCTGCAGCAAACAGCAACATAATCAACAATATTGTAAACAACACAAACAACTCTAACAGAGCGAATGAAAACAATTATTGTCCTTTTTTGGTAAAGACTACACTTAGAATAAAAAAGAGTTTTGTATTCAGGCTCCAGATTTTTTATCAAGTCATATGTCCGAAGATAAGTTATTTCGTGTATTCTCCGATCAAGTGAAAGGGTTAACATGTTGAGAAACAAGTACACATGAAAAAATCGTAAGAACAATTCTAAGTTATTCTTAAAAAGCTACTAACAGTAGTCCAAATAACCTCTTGGCCAAAGCAAATGCAACATCTACAAAAAGATAACCTATACATACATAGGCACCTGTCCAAGTTTCTTCGCCGTGACTAAAGAAGTAACAAGTACCATGATGACCTTCAAACCCGTCCGGGCAGTCCGTCCCTATCACTCCTAAATCAAAGAGGGTGAAAAGCTACAACGGACAGTATTTTATCAGTTGAATATTTGTTGTTTTGTATCTCATCGTCAAAACCATATCATAGTTTCTAAATTTGAAAGACTAATATTTGTAGGTTTCTATACGTAACCCGTTCTTAAAATAGCAGCTGAATATTTTGATATGAAAACACACTATGAATATATAGCATGTATTTTGGAACGACGTCGTCAGTATCGGAAGCTTGTTATAACTTTACAAAATTTTAAATAAGGTCTCGATTTTTATACTTATATAACGACAGAGTGCTTAACATGATCTTAGACCTCTTTACTATGACAAATACCTTGGTCATAAGGATGCAGAGGATAGTCGTTTACAAGACTTCTAAATGACAGGCATCTGATTACGATGGCAATGAAACAGAAAACATAGAAAAATGCCATGTAGGTGTACATTCTGACTAGGCATACATGTATTTTAATTTTACTTGACAACAACTATTTTACAAAGAAAATGTTCAATGCTCATAGAAATAAAATTAAAAAATCAAATCCTGCAAAAACAGTAATAGCTTTAAATGAAAGAATGCAAACATTCAGTTAAACGTACATATTAAGCACTAGCAGAATGTTTAAGCCTTTATGATCCATTGGCGGTGTTAACCTGTGTATACCAACAGTTAAATCAGGTCAACAGCTTGATTGAGTAATTGAATCTAGTTCTTTAGATATCAAAATTCTTTAGATTAACAATAAAAAAAATCAAAATTTCCAAGCAGGAATAGTCCATTTTACAAATAAAAGGGGTGAAACAATGGACATACCTTGGACATGCAAAATTGCCAGAGAAATGAACAATAAAACCATTTTGTCAATTGTTGAAAGTAGTAACATAATTGTGCTCTTCCTATTTAGTGCCCTTATCTAACTGAAGGTCAACAGGGGTTCAGATTATTGAAGCAATATTGCATACAAGTTTGCTTAATTTGTGTAATGGATTTTCCATTATTTAAATTTGGAACAGTCCAATAAAGGAGAGCCTCGCTCTTCTTTTTTTGGTCTTGGCTGATATTTTTTGTAATATCAGACACTGGCATGGTATTCTCTATATAATTGTATGCTTGCTTTGTATACAATTTTGTTTTATATTGAGAACTTTTATATCAACATTGTTTTACATGTTTTCCCCGTCATTTATTAGTTGTTTGTTGTATCTTATACTAAATACTATCAACATAATTATTTACCGTATTTATAAACCTTCCATTATAGACCAATTCACATTAACAAAACTTAAGATCTATTTATTTTTGACACGTACTAAAAAGAGTGAGTAAGATGCATATAAGATATCTGATTGTAACAGCGTTGATTTTATAATATGCAAAAGTCCTGTGATCGTGAATAAGTCAATAATACGACTCATCCTTTCGTTACAATATTATCACATTTTCCAAATCGATCTAATTGAGACAACCAAGTGCGTGCAATCGATATTTTGTGACCTTGGTTGTTTTGTTGTGTTAAGTTTAAATATAGATCGTCAGTAACAGGGTCATTTAACTTGTTATCTGTTACGTTAGCATAAAATGGAGACTAATATGTGAACTTATGCATGTTTAGATTTACATGAATAATATTCAAGCTAGTGTAGAATCTAAGATCAAGATCAAGGACATTAATGTTGACAAGATAAGTTTTATATATAGTAACTAGATTAAATATCTTAACTTTTAACTAAAATGCCGTTGTGTTATATATTCACGAATCTTAAAGACTCAGAAATTTCTCCAGACTTGGAAGAAAATCTAGAGGAATGTATCTCAAAATTAATGAATAAACCAAAGGAGGTGAGTATTTGATATATATGTGTGAGTATATATTATAATTACATCTAGTGTAGTAAAAGCGAACTGAAGTGTAATAACTGATTTAAGTGTATAGAAGCTATATATAAAATACTTGTATGAAATAAAAAATGGCAAAAAATGCCTTAAACACTTAAATTAATTTAAAGCGAGTGGCGCATGAACAAAGTCATTGATATTCGGATAAAACTCTTGTTAAAATAGCAAAATAATATTTTGTTCCGGATCATTTTATTCTGTTTAATACGTACATTATTCATGTGTGTTAAATAACAGAGACATTCTATGGTACAACTTTTTCGAGAATCAACAATATTATAATGGAACTCATATAATTTTACTGTTGATAAATTTTATAAAAATATTTCATAAGATATAGATTTATACCCTTTAAAACAGACATAACATTCAGAAACGAAAGTTATTCTATCAACGGGGGTGGTTGACTTATACTTGATTATGTTGTCTATCCTTCAATAAAATGATCATTTATCGGCTTGAGGCCACTTTAAAATATGTTGTTGAATTATACAAGGTTGTAAAAAATAATAAAATGTTGTGACGGTAGCGTTTGTAGTTTTTAACTCCGGATCACGGCAGTAAGCCATATTGAATTTACCAGAGCACAGTCCAGCTGGGTATTGTTGCTGGGCAGGCTGTCAAGCAGTTTACCAGTACTAGTTGCCTGATCTGATAACTTTTGTACATGCCAGAGCCAAGTGCGAATGACCGTAGAAAGGATTTAATGTTCAATCACAACGAAAGTGACCTGCACCGTCCGGAAATCGAACCCGGGTCACCCGATTTATAGTCCAGCGTTTTACCTATTGAGCTAATACACGACTACAGTAAGATTGTTTCATATTTGTACAAATAAATATCTGTTAAGCTATCAAACCTGTCAACAATAATGTCTTCATTCAAGTCAATTATAACCTCGATTTCTTCACAGCCAGGGATTAACGAGGAATTTGACTTTTAAAGTTTCAAACCCTTGATATCCTGCGGATACAGCTGATTAAACCCCCACTCATTGCCTGACATATTCCAGACATTTTGCTATTAGTACAAAACCAACGCATTAACCCGACAGGTCCTTAATTCCCCGCTTCTACCGCCGTTCCCAAAGAATTGGTTAGTCATAGTTCCAAGTTACTGGGAAATTTCAAAATGCTTTTTTAAATATAGTGCAGTTATTTTCGTGTTTCCTATCATAAATGAAATTATTATCTGCACACAAATAAGCTTAAATTCATGGTTATTTATCTTTTAAATCTGTTAATCAGAGTTTATTGTGTAATCTCCTTCCTGGGATTCGAGCTCACAATCATCCATTGGTAAACCTTGGCAGTTACACTATTATTGCATGAAATTTTAAAATGTTTTTTACAGCGGATTACTGTGATGCTGAACACCGGAATACGCATGAGGTTTGGTGGGAAGAAACAATTTTGTATGGTGTGCAATATTCATTCTATAGCCGTATTTGACGAGAAAAGAAATCCAGGATATTTTCCGCAATTATTTGACGTATTGACGTCGGCAACAAAACTTCCAGCAAGCAGGTAAGCTGTCG